GGCCCACTGAAGCTAGAGGCATCTCTTCACTCAGGCAGCTGCTGACTGCTAAGGCTGACAAGCCCAAGGTCAACAAATAAAATGGCATAGTCCCAATGTTACCAAACCACATGGCAGGCCATTAATTCAAGGCCATTGAAAGTCTCAAGGTTGGCAGAGCTTGTTCAGGTTGCTGAATTACAACACGGCTACATGCAGGGTTCAAGCATGCTATAAACTAGAGACCGTTCCCAAAGCTGCTTTTTATATACAGGAAGCAGACCACATACCCAAAGCAGCTACTCAGCTGCGTGTGGTAGATCCCATCATGGAGTAGACTGCCAGTCTCATCATGGGTAATACTTCATCTAGCTGCCCAGCCACTCAACCAGGCCCAGCCAAGTTGACACACAAATTTAACCACCACAATTCCACCCCTTGTCAACTTGTCACCTGTACAGATCTTCAGTGGGTGGTATCTGTACAGATCTCTTCACTGGGTGACTCCAGTTCCCTAGTTCCCGAGTGGCGACCTCACCCCCTTGGCCTGGCGGGCCCCCTTCCTCACTCCTGGACATGGCAGCCCCGCCCCCTCACTCTGGGGCAGCGGCTATGGCTCCACCCACTAGCTCACACAAACAAGCAGCCCCACCCTCCAGAACCAAGGTGCTGAAACCTAGGGAGCTGTGGTGGTTCCGCCCCCAAAGGCCATGGTCCTACCCTGAAGGCTGAGGCAGCTCTCCTTCCCGTTTCCTTGGTCTCTCCGCTTCTGCCAATTAATGCCCGAGGGCAACCCACTCTGCCAGGAATCTTCCTGCCTAAAGGACACTCGATTTCTTCCTCTAGCCTGGCCAACCTGCTACTCCACCTCATGCTGGTCTTTTCTGCCAATTAATGCCCGAGGGCAACCCACTCTGCCAGGAAGCTGCCTACCCAATGGAACCGGGCTTTCTCCTCCGTGGACTGGTAAGCCTGTTCCCATTTAATGTCGCCTCCGGGTCCTGCTACTACCATCTCTCAGGCTGGTCTCTCTATCTACTCCTGCCGTCTCTTATGTTGGTCTCTCGGCTCTGCTGCTGCCGTCTCTTTTCTCATGCCACATACCAGGTTCTCTCTGCCAGGGTCTCGGGTCAAGGATGCGCTCCATTCCTGTTTCCACATTTTAGGTATCTGTCAGAGCAGAACCCCACTCTCTTGGTACCATATTCTGTTCTGGTTACCCAGTGCCGCTCTGACAGAAATATACCACAAATGGGATGGCTTGAACAAACAGGAGTTTATTCTTACAATTTGGAGGCTTCAAGTCCAAGTTCAAAGTGCCAGGCTCTAGGGGCTGGGTGAAAGCCCCTCAACCTTGGGTTCAGCTCTGCCTCTTGCTCCCAGCCCACTGGAGCTAGAGCCTTTTCTTCACTCAGACAACTGCTGGCTGCTGAGACTGACAAACCCAAGGTTGATAAGTAAAAAGGCACAGTCCCAATGCCACCAAACCACACGGCAGGTCATTAATTCAAGTCCATTGAAAGTCCCAAGGATGGCACAGCATGGCAGGCTGCTGAACAACAACACGGCCACAGAGAAGGTCCAAGGTGCCACAAGCTGGAGACCATTCCCAAAGCTGCTGTTTATATCCAGGAAGCAGACCACATACCCAAAGCAGCTACTCAGCAGCTTGTGGTAGATCCCATGATGGAGATGACTGCCAGTCTCATCATGGGGAATACCATATCCAGCTGTCCAGCCACTCAATCAGGCCCAGCCAAGCTGACACACAAACTGAACCACCACAGTAATTAAATAACTTCAAACAAATAAAAGCCCAGGTCTAGTCGGCTTCATTGGTTAATTCCACCAAATATTTAAAGAGCTAATACCAAGGAACGAACACTTTCCAACTCATTCTGTAAGGTCAATATTACCCTGATACCAACACTAGACAAGGACATCAAAAGAAAAGAAAACCATAGAGCAATAACTCTCATAAATATAGATGTAAAAATCCACAACAAAATACTAGCAAACCAAACCTAGCAACATATAAAAAGGATTATATGCCATGACAAAATGGGATTTGTCCCAGGAATGCAAGGTGGGTTTAATATTTAATGTAATGAACATTAGTAATATAATATTTTATATTTATAGCTGACATTCAGCTATCACTATCAACCACTTAGAGGAGGATTGGTGAAGGAGATCCTGAATAGTGTGGGAGAACAATGTAGAACAAAACTCAAAATCATAAAAAAAAGACTAGGTTTGCTGGTAACCTTCAGGTCTGGAACTGCATTCACTCTTGTGGCTTCCAGCCAAACAATAGACAGGCATGTGGGGTCAATATTTACATCAGGTAGACATACTCCTTGAAGCGATCAATTGTGGGAGAACAGAAGGGCAGTGTTTGCATAGGGAGACAGCTCAGGGAGTAGAAAGTGCATGGGAGGGAAGGATACAGGGAAGAGGTAACTATGGGGAGGAAGTGGGAAGAGAACTGTTACACTGTGGGGAATTGCAGTCAGTGGCATGAGACAAAATGTATATGAACTGCTGCATGGAAAATGAATTTGCTCTGTAAATTTTCACCCAAATTGCAATACATTTAAAAAAAAAAACACATCATATTAACAAAATAAAAGAGAAAACTCACATGATTATCTCAATAGGCTCAGAAAAAGCACTTGATAATTTAACATCTATTCCTGATTAAAAACTCTGAGCAAATCAGAAAGAGAAGGAAACTTCCAATCCAATATGGGTAGTGTCTTTATATAAGACACAAAGAGAGAGAAAAATGGCAGTGTAAAGATGGAAGCAGAGATATGAGTGATCTATAATCCAAGGAATGTCAAGGATCACCAGCCATCACCAGAAGCTACAGGGGCATGGAACAGATGCTCCTCTAGAGCCCTCTAAAGGAACCAATACTCTGATTTTGGACTATGACACAATAAAGTTCTGCTCTCATAAGCCACCTAATTTGTGGTACTCTGTTATAGGCAACCCTACGAAATATAAACATACAGTATGAAAACTCTATCGCAATGAAACTATTACAGTAAAGGATGCATCCTTCAGAGTTTAGCCTTGCAACAAATTACCAGACTCATGCTGCTGCTGTTGTTGTTAGGTGCCATCAAGTCAGCTTAAACTCACAGCAACCCTGTGTACAACAGAATGAAATGCTGCCCCATCCTGCACCAGCCTCACAATCCTTGCTGTACCCAATAAGCCCACTGTTGCAGCCACTGTGTCAATCCATCTGGTTGAGGGCCTTCCCCTTTCTCGTGGACCCTCCACTTTACCAAGCATGATAGCCTTCTCCAAGGATTGGTCCCTTCTGACAACATGACTGAAGTAGCTGAGACGAAGTCTGGCCATTCTTGCTTTCAAGGAGCATTTCTGGCTGCACTTCTTCCAGGACAGATTTGTTAGTTAAAAAAGGTCTTTTGCAGCAGATTTGCCCAGTGCAATATACCATCTGATCTCTTGACTGCTGTTTCCATTGGTATTATTATGGATCCAAGTAATATGAAATCTTTGACAACTCTAATCTTTTCTCCATTTATCATAAGGCTGCTTATTGGTCCACTTGCGTGAATTTTTATTTTCTCTATGTTGAGGTGTAATCCATACTGCATTCTACAGACTGCAGTCTTTAATCTTCATCAGTAAGTGCTTCAAGTCATCTTCACTTTCAGCAAGAAGGCTGTATCGTCTGCATATCCAAGTTGTTAATGAGTCTTCCTCCAATCCTGTTTTCACATTCTTCTCCATATAGTCTACCTTCTTCTCCATATAGCCTAGCTTCTCAGATTATTTGCTCAGCATACAGACTGAATAAATACGGTGAAAGGATACAACCCTGATGCGCACCCTTCCTGATTTTAGACCACGCAGTATCCCCTTGTTCTGTTCAAACGACAGCCTCCCAGTCTATGTACACGTTCCTCATGAGCACAATTAAGTGTTCTGGAAGTCCCATTCTTCTCAATGTTACTCATAATGTGCTATGATCCACCAGAGTCATACTTGCAAAAAAACTGACAACTAGCTCTAAATGGTTCTTAATAGAAAGAACAATCTAAGTCTCCTAGACTCTACCTTAAAGACTATTTCCTCATGGATCTACTGGATGAGGAGAGTTAATTTACTTCCAAACACACTTACATTGTATACTCAACTTGTTACACCCACTGGAAAACACAGGGGCAAAAGTCTGACAAAAATGACATTTTTTCTTGCTTGCACAAAGACAAGCAAATTTCCTTTATTAAAATATGAGAAAATAAAACACAGGAGATGTTTCATAACCTGGGCACTGGGATGAGTAAACATTTAACTACATGGCATGGAGGATACAAGGGGAGTTCATAGATGGCACTGGTGTGAGCTAGCATGACAGGGTAGGGCCACACTGGGGCTACAGCTCTGAGCAGGGTAGGACCCCAACACTCACCTCGAGCTCTTCACTGTCTTTGGGCTTCTCCTCAGAGGTCTGTTTAACAAAGTCAGGGATGAGGATTTCCAGCGTAGCTCGGGCTATAAAAACAAAAACCCTGAGGGTGAGAGACTAGATATAGGCCATCTTCCCAGAGCATGGAGGGGAGGACTGACACCCCACCACCTCTCCTGTGAGCTGTGTGCTGGCTATCCTGCAGGGCCAACGAGTTGTTTCCATCAGGGGGGAGGGTGTGTCAGGGTCACCTCGGCTCAGAGGGGTGAATAAGGGCCTTCTATAGCAGCAGTGCTTTGGAGACCGGGAAAGTAGAATATGGGAGAAAAGGCACAGCCTGAGGCAAGAAGAGAGTGGGGCCAGAGTCTGGCAGCCTCACAGCCCACTGAGCAGCACCAGGGAGATCAGATCTACATTTCAGAGGACTCACTTTGGTGGTGTGCAAGAAAATGATTCAGCAGGGCCAAGATCAAGCAGCAAGACCTGAGAGCAGGCTGCCATGGGGAATGATGGCAGTGTTGGGTGATGGGCAGGGAGAAGTGATCGGATCCGATGGCCACTCTGGAGAATACGCTGCCAGGTCAAAGCATGGCGATGGCTCAGATGTCAAGAGCACAGGCACTGCTGTGACAGGGCTGCCACCCACCAGGCTGCAGAGGGAAAACGGGTATGCGCAACAACTGGTGGCCTGATGGTTCGGTGTGACCTGTAGAGTTTCAAGTGCTAGCAAGTCATCCAAGCAAAGATGTCCCAAAGATCTGCTAAAGTCTGGGCTGGAAGCAGAGATCTGAGGAGTGAAAATGGATTCCAGCATGTGGGAAGAAGGATAGGTGACCCCACAGAGGGACACACCAGCACCAGCAATGTCCCAAGGACGTCTTTATCCATACCAAGCCCCACTCTGAAGGTTATCTGCCCCACAACCTTGTTAATACCCAGTTTGGTGAGCTGAGGCAGAATCTCTGTAACAAGGCCAGCAGACTTTCCTGATGATTAGGTGGGCCGTAAATGTTAGTGAGCCAGCCCGGGAAACACTGCACAGAGAGACTACCAACCACCCCCTCATCCCCCACAGCAAAGGAGAGGAGCACTTGGGGCGCGCCAAGCCCAATGAGTAAGAAGTACTTCCAGTGACCCCCAGACCTAGTGAGACAGCAATACAGCTGACCCACTTCACACCCTGATGTGGCAGACCTGCTCGGGAAAACAACATGGCCACATCAGAAACCTCAAGACAGGGTGCTCCGCCAGTACAAGGGCCTGGCAGGAGGCCCCATACCTAGCTTGCAGTGTGCTCTACTTCTCAGAAAAGCCTCAAAAACTCTGATGTAAGGGCAAAAACTATTAGTGCTAAATATGAACAGAAAGAACATGGTCGAGAACAGTGGGTTTTAAGCAGAAAACAAATTTTATAAAGGATGATATACTATGCTGAATAAGTAGTATTCACAAAGATTGGAGCCTGAAGGACTCAAGAAACTTCCTTCATAAATGTTAAAACCACTTAAGAACAATGCTGACAGTATGATGATTCCTCTGCTTCTCATACCTTATGGCACACCCCAATTTTTCTAGGTTTTTTTTTAAAAAAAAAAAACCTTCTCTGGAATGTGTGCCCAGCATCGCCCCACTGGCTGTGAGCTCATCCATACCTAAGTGAATCATGACAAGGGCTGGAGACTTGACCTAGCCGTCCCTGAACAGGTAAGGGGGCTTCCACTTTTAATCTTCACATTCTACTACATTTCCATAAGTCTCTTCCAATGAGCATGGTAATTTTAAAAAATAACAAGATAGATGACTAGACAAATAAGATGAATTTACCCCACCTCAACCCTTCCTCACGGCCGCTGCTGCTCAGCCCCCTCCTTGACCACAGGCTACGAGACTGACACAGCCGTGTGTGTATTTCTGCAACACCCAGCAAGCACATTACCAGCTTTATTCTTCGCAAGTTTTTTGCTGCTTGCAGTTCCAGATCCGTAAGTCACACCATCAATGGTCACCGAGGCACCAAAAGGCTCACTTGGGTTCTCTTAAAATTAAAATTACTTGTTTTAAAACACACTTGCCAAGACATTGAAAGCATATACACACATAGGCCTGTGCGTGAGTGCGTATGCATCCACACACAGACAGACACACAATCTGTTCACATCAGAAGACAAGGTGGAGTCAGGGGCCGCACCCTAAACAGAGCAAGTTTCGAACTACAACTGCTCCAAGACCTGGGGAGTCACTGAGGCATGGAGGCAGGACAGAGCACAGAGCCAGGACCATCCCAGGAAATGGAGAATATGGTGCAGCAAGCTGGCAGGAAAGCAGGAGGCTGGGCTACTGAGGATAAGGATCAAAGTCTCTGAAAGACAGACAGGAAGGATTAACACAGGACTGTTGGGGGCTGGGATGCACAAGATGGACTGAGGTGAAATACAGAAACGATCAAAGACCCCCTAGGTTTCAGCTTCCAAGAGGAAGGCAAACTCTGGTTTTTACAATGGTGGGATGAAGATGTCCATGAAGACAGGGTTAATAGGTAGCATGGGCCTAAAGACCCTTTACCCACTGGGAGACCAGGCAAAAGGCCCAGCGCACAGCAGGGGAGGCCTCCCTTAGAGAAAGGCAGTCTGAGACAACAAGGGTTCCAGAACTGGCAAGGCAGACAGGGCAAGGACAAAAGGAAGGCCGGGAAAGGGGCATCATGAAGGGGAAAGCAGTCATTCACCTTCAGACAAGCACATCTCTAGGAAAGGGACCATCAAGCTGCACCATGCTTTTCTCTGCTTTCCCCTTTAATTCCTATTCCATTAGAGTAGGACCCACCTCCCAGCCTTGAGCAAAATAACATTTGTCATTTATTACTGAAACGGGTAAAAGTCAAACTTACCACATTCAAAGAAATTGTAAACGGGGCGGACCTTGAGGACACGCTGCATATATTCGTGCAGGATGCACACCTCGGATTTCCCATTAGGATTAATGACAAATTCTGGGACAAGAAGGAATGTCTCAGTAACAGCCTGAGGCTAGCCACAAGCTAGCACCCAGAGCCCTGGGCCTACACATCTTACTCAGACATTTAATTAGGGACCTGCCACAATGAAAGTGGCAGATCTCTGCAATCATAAGATAAACGTAAGCCGTGAATTAAAACGTATGTCACTCACAACACACTCTAAAGGCATCAAATTAAAATCAAAGCCTATTCAGGCTACTAACCTTCAAACTTACAAATCACAACTCACCTTTCTTTGTGGGTGCATCTTGTACAGATAAAGTGATAAGTTTCTGATTGGCTGGCAGGATAGGCCTCTCGGACTCAGCCTGTTTCCGCTTCATTTCTCGGTTGAACTGCCGCCGCTCGGCCCAAGTCCTGAATTTTTTCACAGTAACTTGCTCAAAGTCAAAACGCTTCTCCAGGTAGTTCCGAAATTCCTCAAGATCTGTCCAAGATTTACCAGAGAAGCACATTACAAACCTCCTCTGTAGGAGTTAGGTCGCCTGTACTCAGTCATCAGGGCAGCAAGGGGTGGCCCATCAAGCAGGTCCAAGTCATGAGACACCCATCTTCCTGCCTGCCCTTCGTCCCTTTCAAAGGGTAGAGAAAGAAAAGAATCATTCCTCTCACTCTGTCACCTCAAGTTATTCTGGCAAGTTCCCGAAAAGGCAAATTTCTAGAATATCCTTTTAGTTTATTGGTGGAAGAACTATACAAAAATTAAAAAGGAAAAAGCCAAAAACAAACAAATCACATGGCCTTCAGGGCCTTTCTCTCTGTAACAAAACAGGTCGACAGCTGCTGAGGCAGATGTGCCCACAGCCAGCCTAACTTACGAGCAGGCACGTTCTGCTATCCACACAGCTGGCCCACCTCACTGTCTCCCCTCCAGCCAACCTAGCCACATTTGTACTCAGCAGGCACACCTGCTGGCTCCTTGTTTCAGGGGCTTTACACCTGTCTCACCTCTACCCACAAGGCCCTGGTTCAGTCTCAGGGCTCACTCCTACTGTGTCTCGGTGTAACTTGTTCAATGATGTTCTGCCTGGACTTCCTGTTTTGTTTTCTTCCCAGCTCCCCTCCCACTTCCTCCCGAGAGTTACCTCTTTCCTGTGTCCATCCCTCCATGCACTCCTGCCCCCTGAGCTGTCTCCCTGTGTATAAACAGCCCTTTTCTCCCAGGATTGTTCTCTCCAAGGAGTGTATCTACCTCATGTAAATGTTCAACTCCTATACCTATCTTGTTTGGCTGGAAGCCACAGGCGTGGGTTCAATTCCAGACCTGCAGGGCAGCTAGGGGCCTTAGTCTCAGTGGTTCCACCAGACTCTTTCGGGCCAGCAAACCTAGTCATCTCCCCCCGCCCCTTTTTTTTTCCCAAATGATTTTGAGTTTTGTTCCACATTGTTCTCCCGCTCTATGAAGGATCTCCTACATAGATCCCCCTCCAAGTGGGTAACAGTGGTAGCCAGGCACCATCTAGTTCTTCTGGTCTCATAGTTGTATAGGCTGCAGATCTCATGGTGTACCAATTGCTAGGACTAATTCTTTCCATGAATCTTTGTTTTTCTTCATTCTTCTTCATTCAACAAGCTCAACTGGCATACCATACCACACAAAATTTTGTTCCACCTCCTACTTTGATGAGTAGCAAGTGGGATCTTAAAAGCTTGCAAGTAGCCATCTAGATACAACAACAGGTCTCTCCTCATCCAGGGCACAGAAGAACAGACTTCCTGTTTTGAATGCAGCATCCGCTGCCCTCCTTTCCAGGCTCACATCTGCCTCATTTCTTTGGGACTCTGTCTTTCACACTCCCCACCACGCCTCAGTCCTAAGAGCAATGCCAGGTCTCTGTAGGTAGTCAATGAGACTCTACACTAACACAGCGGCACAGTTCAAGGACAGAGAGCTCCCATGTAGACAGATGAGACTCTGAGACATGTTCCAGATTTTGTTTTTAAAGTTACAAAACAATACACCTGTAGCCACTTATCAATTATAAATTGAAACTACATGTTTCTATACACATAAATGCAGAGAAGCAGATCTGGAAAGATGCACATAATACAAGCACCAGTGTTCACAGCTGGGAAGGGAGATGAAGTTGGAAGGGTTGTTTTTAAAACAACAGGAACACCATCAGGTATTATGCATGTATAAAAGACCATTAACTAAAAGGAAATGTGAACTCTGGTTTTTTCAAAGGGGGGGGGGTGTCCCATCAGGAAGAGAGAGATGTGGAGGTGAGAATACAGGAAGAAGCCTAGGTGACATGTACATCAGGTGAACCGGGGCAACCCAGGAAATGCCTTGCTTTGCCACAAACTTGCAACCCGGTTCTCAGCGCTCTAGCCCAGTGGCAGCTAACAAGCTCATGGCTCTCTCTAGGTGGCATTGGCTTTCTCCTTTCTTGTGGCTTCTCACCCTCCTTCCTCCTCCACCTCTAGGACCACACTCTATGACTTGTCTTCCCACCCCTTTCCTGGTCTCTTCACTGGTGGCCTTGCCCTCCACAGAAGCTGCATCCCTCAGTGACAGCCACCTCCTCTCCAAGGCACAGCCCCAGACTCACCCTGGGTGGCCACTCAAGCCTCCGGGCTGCTGCTCAGGCCTGCCTCCCACACTCCCAAGGGCAAACCTCTCCTTCCTTGACAGCAGTGCCTAGCTCATGTCTTTTCTAGGGCTCCACCTCCCAATCACAAGTCCCCTGACACCAGGGACACACCAGCACAAGAAAATACCCACTGTGTGCAATTCAATCCCTCCCCTCAAACCCAGCTGGCTCCCTGGGTCTCGGGTGAAAGTGATCAAGGGGTTTTCAGTGCAAGTAATGACCTGCCAACAGGCTGCCCACAGGCCTGGCCACCCCACCTCGCTGAGCCTGGTGCTACTCTCTCCCTTTCCACATTGCATTGCCCAGGCCAAAGGCTAGGTGCCCTCTGGCCTCCGAGAAGTGCCAATAAAGCCAGTGAACTCCCTTCTGTAGGCTCTTCCTCCCTACAGGGAACCCACAGGGAACACTTCCATTCTGGAGTGAGACTTCATATGTAACCTGCCCCCAGCACGGGGATTGCTGCCCTCCATGCAGAGTGTGGGGATACCACCAGATTAGGCCTCTTGGCAAGAACTTCAAACTTTGTTATCTGTTTAAAATCTATCATAAAGTAAAAAGTAACATTTCACCAAAAATCTTAAGGTATTGAAATAATGATGCACTGAACTTTGTGTGTACGTTCTATTTACAATTATCTGTTATTTCCAGTAAGAGCAGTAAAAAATATATAAAATTCAGACATTCTCATGAAAACTAAGAATTTCCATGGATTTAAGAAATGAAATGTGAACTCTGATCTTTTCAAAATTGTCTTCTACATGCTCCTACCATCCAAAGCTAATGGCAAAGCTACTGAGGAGAGTAGCAGGACACTGGTGGGGGAGTGCAGTTGCCCCTGTGGTCAAATACCCGCCTCTCCAAGGACAGCCAAGGGACAGGGCAGCAGCATCAGTCCTTGGCCACCTGAATCTCAGCTTGAGTAGATCAGACGGAAGCTGATCATGGAGCTGGGAACAGCACAGAAGCCCCCCAAGCCTTCCAGGTGCTCTCCAGTCTTAGCCTAGGGTCCATCTCACTGGCCACTGTATAATTTCTGGTCCCCCAGGTAGAGAGGATTTTCTGGGTTGCTTATATCTAGCCTGAACCCCATTTCCAAAAGAGCTGTAGAAAGAGATAAGGAATCAAGAAGGGAAAACAAAGGTAGAATAGTAAGATGAGACCAGAGTGGTGGGGCCACATTCTATGTCAGAAGGCATGCTTTAAGAGTTCTGGCATATTCTGAGTCAGAACATAGACTATAAGAACTTCTATTACTACAGCTGGGTTATAGTCACAGTACCAAGCTCCTGAACCCAGAGCCACCAAGGAAACAAAACCAGGCCCATCCTGTCCAAATTACCCTAGGCAAACCACACCTTTCCTAACATGGGGTCTGAGAGAACTCCTCTACTGGTTCTCAGAAGGGAGGAATGACCTCCTATTTAGCTTCACACTAATGCCATCGCACCCAGCACTTGGTCATAGGAGAAATTTCCCGTGGAGCTAACAAAGAGGGAAATCAAAGGTCAGGCAGCAGCAACAGGCTTTTAGGAGAAAAGGTCCAGAATCAGGCCTTGTTGTTGTTTTTATTATGTGCCGTCGAGTCGGACCTGACTCATAGCGACCCCTCCTTGGGTT